CAACTATTTAAAAAAGGGGTATATACAGTACAAGGACATGGGTCACAATTGAAATCTAACAGGAAATTAATTTAAGACAGATAATAAGAAACACTTCATTCACAAAGAGTTGTAGGTATCTGGAATAGCTTCCTTGGCAGATGGTTAATGCCCAAATTTTGGGCTCATTAATGAAATATCTCAATGAATGGTTGAATTTTTAATCTCATAAACTACCAAACAAGCATGACTGATAAAATGGCCTCTTCTTCTCTGCATAAAGGATTACTTCTTGTCCTTATGATCTTAAGTGGAGAGGGCTGTCCAGTTTTGTGTTCCTTAAAACAACCAGAAATTCCTGAAATAACATGTACATATAGGTACATAAGACAAAGCATGTTTTAAGCAATCTCTAATCTGTCAATCTTTAATTGTGCCTGAACCTAAAAATGCCACTGGATCAAATAATTGACATTTTATTAAATGAAGACATCTAGTACAGTACTCTGTGTACTGTAGATATACAGTATAACTTATTAATATACAAGCTTTTAATAATATGTTAATCAATATGCTTACCTGCCCTTTTACTTAATAATGAACATGAGCAACCTCAGGCTAATCACTCCACTTGAATCATGAATCAAAAGGTTAGTGTGTTTGTAAATTCTTAATAAGATTTACATGTACAGTAGATTGCTTTGTGACATCAGTGTTTTTTGGATGTGGCTTTGCATTTATGTTTGGATTTTTCATCTGCTGGGTGTTTTTTTTTGTAAAGGGTAGCTTTTGTGAAGATTATATTTTTATCATAACAATAAAGCAACGTTGATGATTATACTGTATTCGCTTCTACCTGATAAAGGTCAGTCCTAACATGTTTTGCTAGTACTCCATGGTGAGCTTAGATAAGCAAGGGGGTTTGGTGGTTCTTAAGAATTAGCAAATGCTATGCAGTAACATATGAAGACTGTAGTTGCTTCACAATTTTATTTTTCTGTCAGCATCTCGTAAAATGTTCTAAGCACGTTCTGAACAGTGTTTCAAGTGCCGTATCAGTAGTCCAGTGTAAAATGTCCATTTTAAATTGTTTGGAAGAGTATTCTGAAAAGACTCCATTTCTAAGATGTGCTTATATCAGAAGTAGAAAAAATTAGGCATAAAATCCCCCAATGGGGGAGTTTGAGGTTCGTGGCCACCTAAAAGTGTCATGATGCAGAATTGTATAGTATGAGTATAAAAGGATTGTCATTTGATTATGCCATACATAGAAAGTAGTCCCCACTTATCTGAAAATGGATCTCTTGAATTATATGTTTTCATGCATTTTTCCCTCTCAACCTGTCCTATTCATAAACACCACAGTACCATGCTTTAATGAATGCCATCTACTGTATCTCAGCATTCTGTTCAGCGTTGACTCGTTGACTCCGAGAATTGTTATTTCATTTTTTTAGCATGCATTCAAATATCATTGGTATGTTTTTGCCTTTAAGCAATGTTTGAGATCGGAGATGGTGAGATGATAAAGTTTCAGATTGCCTAACGGCACTGAATCCTGTAGCTAAAAGAATGGCACTGAAAAGACAACAGCATTTTGTTAACAAAATTATTTTTGTGGTGTCCACCACAATTATATTCCCTGCCTGGAGAGAATTCAATTGACATTCTCTAATAAAATGGATTAGGTGAAACTGCTGTCCTAAAATACAGTATGTTTGTTACGTGTTGAAGCATTAGACTTCTTATACTGTACAGTATGTACAGTTATGATAAAATTGTTTTTTAGAACTTGTTAAGATGAGACATGTGGGCAAAAGGCAGATTTATTTCACATTCCGAATCTGAGTTTGCTGTGCACAGAAGCGCTGTATTAAGAATTGTCTCACTATCATTTACATGTTACAGTGTTTTGTCTCTTATTACTTTTTTTAGTGGCTGGGTTAAGAGAAAGTAGGCAATTAAACATCCAGTAATGTATGAAGCATGGTAATGAGATGGGTGAAGCCCTGGAAGATGGTGTGGTGTTCATACAATTGAGATACAATTTGCTTCATTTTTTATGAAATAAGACATTATGCAACATCTACTGCAGAAATCATGTCTCCAGTCATGGTGTCTACAACGGCTCACTGTGATGACCGACATGGTTTCTGTTTTGCCTCACAGTGCAAGCTACAAAACTGTCAAGAAGATGTAATTCTGGATTATATCATCAAATAAGGGAAGCTCCAAATTTGAAAACAGCTTTTTTTTGGTCCATTACAAGGTCAATATGTGATGCTTCGAGCTCTAGGAAGAAACATTATTTTTTACCAGTTAGTAACTGCATTGAAATGTAACCTAATTAAAATATAGGTAAACGATGTGCCCATAGCTGCACTGGTGTCACCTTATGCTGTTATATTTTAATTCTGTGAAAGGCTGTAGGAATTTTGTAAAACTAAAGAGTTATAAGATAAAATA